AATATGCTTGGTAGCCCCGGAGTCTACCACCCACTCATTCACATCATTAGTTTTACAACTTTGAGAAACAACCGCAATAAAATTATCATCACTACAAACCAAGTTTAAACTTGATCTTAGTGGTTTGTTGTTTTTCATAGTTGTCATTTTATCACTAAAAAGGAATAACATTTTTTTAAAAAAAGTGGTGTTAAAGTATGGCGTATTGTAAGTAGGAAAGTTGAGAGACTAACCATTATACGTAGAAGACTTTTCTGAGCGTTAATCCGATTTATACGGGTCCCCATGCGGGTGTATCACAGCCTACTTCGCAACGCACAAGTAGAAATAACATAGCCCCGATGAGTGCGACGGCAACGCCTTGTGAGATGATATGTGCAGGCATATCCGACGCCAAATACTTTCTTGAGATTGTTGGAGGAAATTGGCCGGATAAACCTGCAAAACAGCGTTAGAAAAATAATATAGCTCGAGTCGCGTAAACGCTGTCCTCAAGAAAGTATTTCCGACTAGCGAAAACCTTTCCCCAAGATAAAACGAGCTCTTCGGCGTAAGCCTGTAACAGAACAACGAGAGTAGAATAATATTAATCCAGCAGAGTTGTAATATATTAGGGGATGTTTAGCTCAACATATTCTATATCTACCCAAATCAACTAGCATGGCCGAACATATATATACACACATGCAACAAGAACGTTGCTGGCCAGATTAGAAACGGTCAATGTTAAAAAAAAACTTTAATGTTTCTTTATTAAGCTAACGTTAGGAGCATTAAATTACTTTGATGTTGAAAAAATCCTCAAAGCAAATGCCTTGCCGTTATAATGTTCAGTGGACCAAATCAATGCATAACATTGTCATTTGGAATAATTATTTAATTCACATACATTCACTTAATAATAGAATACATGAAAAATTTTAATTTATAAAATTGATTAATAAAGTATTATTCATTTGAAATACTCTCAATATTTCCAACAATTGACACGCAGGATAGGTGGTCGGGTAGTTTGGTGCCACATATACTTCCAGGTCAGCAGGTAACGGGCTGACCTGCTGGTAACCGGCTAAAAAGCCTGATTGGGTGTTTTTTAGGAGTGAAAGGGTGTAATTGGGTGATTTCGGAGTGCGAGGGTTTACTTGATGAAATGGTAAGAGTACGGGGGCCTATTTGACAGTTTTCTCTTTTATATATGAACTGTGTTTGGTTATTTTCACTTTGTTATTGTTTTGGTTTTTCATTGTAATTAGGGTTTTGGTCCAATTGAAGAGTAGGGATATTAATAGTCAAGCTTGGTCACTATCGACTTACAGTTACGCTCTCATGGTCAACGAATCATATTGCTTTTATATGGGTTATTGATTATGTGTCTAAATCTAGAGTTAGTGATAGTGTCATGATTTTTTATCGAATTGTATGTCTTCGAGTTCAAAGTGATTTAATATAAGCTTTTTAACACACAAAAAAGAATCTAGAATTGACTCAACATAAAACACCTTCTTTGACTGAACCCGTCGAAATAATAGAACCAACAATAGGAAGTGCTAGAATAACAATGAAATAGAATGTTTGAGACTAAATTTTGTATATTTGAGCTGGGAAAATGATGATCTTTATAAAGGTGTTTATGGACTATTTTTATGATGCAACCTCACCGTCAAAACCTAATCATCATAGTAATAAACACGGGGTAATTAAATGTGAGATATTTAATTACAATAGTGTTCTCCAATAATCAACGGTTTTCAGAAGTAGCGCCGCAAATCCTTTTTCTTTTTTGCGAAGACCTCACCAAACATTTTACTTCGCGGAAAATAGCATCCATTAGGAAATGATACACGAGAATAGCATCCAATGCTAGGAAAAGATACACATAGTGGAGAATAGCATAGTGTAGAAGGGAATCAATTTCATTGTGCTATAGCTAGATACACAACTAGAGAAGAGAATTCAATGCTCCAATGTGCTTGAACTCAGTTTGTTAATCGAAAAACATAAAAAAAAAATATTTTTTTACATCGAAATGTGTATTTTTTATTTTATAATTATTCAAGGAAAAATTAAAAGTAAAACATTACTTATAATAATTTAATTAATGTTTTACTAAATTGATATGTAAAAAAATATGTAGAGTGTATTTTATTGACGGCACACGGATGCAGAGAAAAAAAATATTGACGGAGTCTAAGAGCATCTTCAATGCTAAAACGTTAACAGTGCATACGTGGCATGAGAGATAGCCAATGAAAAAACAATAAATAGAATATCTCTCTCCTTCTTTAAAGGATCTTATATCATTTTGGTAAGTTTTTCTTCACAATATCAAGCACAATGTCTAGATGTAGACATTGTGATTGACATTGCAGAGAAAAACTTACCAAAAACACATAAGACCGTGGAAAGACGGAGAGATAAATGTCAAAAAATCAATCTTTTGTGTCTATCTCTCTCATGACACATGTGCACCGTGCATATTGTAGCATTGGAGATGTTCTAAACACTGTTTTCATACGGACGGAGTTCAAATTTAAAAGGAAAGCAGTTTGACCCAAAGGAAAGCAGTTTGACCCAATGTAGTTTCTCTTGTATGAGAGCCCGAGAGGGGTTGACCTGAAAGTGTCCTTCAACATGACAAAAAACGAACTTTCTTCATTTCTTGGGTTTTACCTACAACCCTATCTCATACTGTGATACTCCAACAAAATAGCCAACAAGAAGTGATTCCAGAAAGACTTGCATTCATTTCGAAACTCGATTGACATGCCCATGAACCCATTTTCAAGGCGGTGAAGAAAGCTTTAGTAAGAAGATGCCCAAAGAGTTGGCTGGAGGAATATAATCTCACTCATACCATTTTCTTTAGGCTTTATGCCAATTTATACAAACTGAATTGAAATAACTATGCAACTACAAAAAAAGGGTCTGTGCACAACTGCACCATTCCCACCAGCAACCACTTCCTTAATATAGGGATACTACAGCAAAAACTAACGAAAATGGAGACACCGATACAACAACAACATTATCCCAGTGTCTCAAAGGCCTCCCACCTAAGAGGAGTAGGGTGTACACAGCCTTACCCTGCATTAAAGCACATAAAAGACTGTTTCCGAATGACTAATGATGAAATTGCGCCAAAAATTTCATGGACAAACTTTTGCTCCATAACAAAGAAGCGCAGACAGTTAGTAGTCAACCCCCAATTGCACGTCATAAACATATATGTTTGGATCCAAATAGTTCTGGTTGTCTTGCACTGTCTCTTGCTCTAGCATAGCTCATCTACGCTTGTACCAAAGCTCATTATCATAACTTTTATAGAAAAACTTTTACACACAATTTATCAAAATTGGCGGTGGGTCAGAGTTTCAGATTGGCCCTCCCCTACCTACACGTTAAGAGCAATTTGTCCATAGCGGTCGAATTAATAGAACCAGGTTTTGGGGATCAGGCCATAAGACCACTTGGAGTGGTGTAGGATTAGGAGTCCAAAATGCTAAAAGTGGAATTTTTGGACTCCTAATTCCTTGTAGTGGTTCACAATTTGGGGGTAGGGATGGACCCGGGCCGGTCCGATTCCGGTTCCGGGCCGGGCCCGGCCGGGCTTTTTTTGCAAAATGTTGGGCCCGGAATCGGCCCGGTAGGGGTGGGCACGGGACGGAACGGGACGGGAATTAGACTATCTCGGTCCCGAACTCGGTTTAGGATAACGGGACAGAACGGGATGGGACAAGATGTTGTCCCGTTGTTGTCCCTTTTAAACCAGTACCGGAACAGAACAGGACGGTTCGGGACATCCCAAAAAAGTTGCAGCGAAAAAAATACAGCTCCAAAAAGAAACTTCATGACAAAAACTACAACACTAAAAATGCGACACATACAAAAATTTACGATAAATGCAACACAAAAAATAGTAGATTAATAGGATAGTTGCACGAAACAAACCGTAACAACAACAATAACTCCAACACACACAATACTACTAAGAAACTACAAAAATAAATAAAAAGACAAAAAATATTATTAGAAGTGAAACATGTGAAGTATAGGTGAGTTTCTTTTTAGTACGTAGAAGATACTTCATATACTTGATATAATTTAGACTCCTTTAGGTGTTTTACATATTAGATAACTAATACCTAATTAATATTCATTAGTTTTTGAATTGATGGTAGACTCACTAACCCACAACTATATACTCCGTACAATTTTGAATTCGGGACAACGGGACGGAATGGGACATATTTTATTTGTCCCGATCCCGTTTTATTTTGAAACGGTTCAGGACCGGAACGGGACAAAAATAGTGTCCCGAATTTAACGGGACAATTTCGGAACGGAACCGGAACGTTCCGGAACGGACCAACGGGACCGGGTCTTTTGCCCACCCCTACGGCCCGGGTTGATACCGGGTCCGGGCCTAACCGGGCCGGGCCGGGCCGGGGCCGGGTCAAGTTCAATTTTTTTTGTTTCTAATTAACACCCGACCCCCCGCCCCTTCACCCCCACCCCCCAAACCCCCCCAAAACATCCAACCCTAACCTAGAAAAGCAAAAAAAATGAAAAAAAAATTGAACCGGGCCCGGCCCGAACCACTCGGACCGGTTCACCAAACGTTGGGCCCGGGCCCGAGCCCGGCCCGCCCGAACAGCCCAAACGGGCTAAAAGCCCAGAACCGGCCAATCGGTCCCGATCCAGTCTGGGCCCAAACAGTAACGGGCCGGGCCGGTACCGGGTCGGGCCGGGTCGGTTTAGTCCATCCCTATTTGGGGGAGTAAAAGTGGGTAATGGGATGGAGGGTTTCAAATTTGTAGGGTGGAGTTGACTCCCTCAAATTTAAATTCCATGTTTTGTTATTTGAATTTATTCCATGTGTTATTATATTAATTATGTGTGCTTATTTTAATGTTCACATTTATTTTTATTTTAATTCCATTTATTATAGTTATTATAAGTCTTTCACAGTATTAAGTAAGATACTAAAAAGATAGAAGTAATTTACACAAACTCAAATTTTATTCCAGACACATAAAAGTTCTAAAAATACATAAAGATTTTAGGAAAAACATAAATACTACAAATATGAAGTTAACACTAGTAAATGAAACACATGAAACACGATTGGATTAAGAAAACACGTAAATATTTAAGGGAGGCATATAAACTACATTTCATTTCCATGGTGCCTCCACAGGTGGTTTATGAGATCACTTTTAAGCGATGTGTGCACCAAGAAGTCTCGAATTCGATTGTGACACATCATATACTCACTCAAGGTCGGGCCATCATGGTTAAGATTCAATTCAACGATGCCACCAATATAGTCATAGTCTTCACGGTAGTCTTGTTGGGTTGGTTCTTCATCCTTCTCTTCATATTCATCTTCCACTATCATGTTGTGCATTATAATGCATGCCATCATTATATCACATAATGTGCGTATGTCGTGCAAGCGTACAGGACCTCGCACAATAGCCCACCTAGCTTGTAAAATTCCAAATGCTCTTTCAACATCCTTACGAAAAGTCTCTTGCATTGAAGCAAAAAGCTTTTTCTTAGGAGTGTCTGGATGACTTATCATCTTCATCGATGGATTTGTAAAATGCGGAAAAAGAATTCATGATTTTATTTGGCCTTCTAGTAGAATACTTGAAAATAGGAGAAGTAAAGATGATGTGTGTGACTCTAATGTCAAGTGAGACCATGTATTTATAGTAATATAGTTCTTTGATGTTCACACCAAGTGGAGGATACATCCAAATTATTATGTTTGGATACACCAAGTGGAGAATAGCATCCAATGTGCTATGAAAGGACACACATAGTGGAAAAGAGAATCCAATGTCATATAATGTGATATGAATGACACACATAATAGAAAAGAGAATCCAAGGTGATATGAATACACACAACAAGTTGAAAAGGGAATCCAATGTGTTATGGATAGACACACAAGTTGAGAAGAGAATCCAATGTTCCAATGTGTTTGAACTCACTTAATTGAAAAACGTAAAAAAAATATTAATGAAATTTGTTTTTTTTTACATCGAAATGTGTCTTTTTTATTTTATAATTAATCAGAAAAAAAATTAAAAGAAAAACATTACTTATAATAATTTAATTAATGTTTTACTAAATTGATATGTAAAAAAATGTGCAGAGTGTATTTTATTGACGATGCTGGAATGCAGAGAAATAGGAGTCAAAATACTGTTTTCATATGAACGGAGTCCATTTTTGACACTTAGACTCTCCCACCACTCCAAATGGTCTAAGAGTTTATCCATAGCAACTGAGGGCTCCACATGTCTTGCCCTTGAACATTGACGAGGAGTTAAACAAGATACGATAGTATACACTTCTCAGAATGGTTTTAATTGATTGATGCCATTTGCAGGAATTGATTCATTGAGGCTTAGCGTCATTTGCATGAATGGATTCTTGGGTGACCTTTTGGAGAGGGATGGGAAGGACCGAAGGACTACTAGTGTATTCATAATGCAAGGGAAACTAGCAAAATTAAGCTGTACAGTAGAGAATAAAATAACACGTTTGTTTGAAAGACTAACATATTCATATCGAGCCGGTTGGAATAGCGTAACCACCATCTTATTGAATCTTTTTACAGGTTTTAACAATGATCATCGTAATCCACAACCCTATTGGTTGAATCAAAGTATTGAATCAATACATCAGCGATTTGGAACATTCAATATAGTAATGATAAATACGAACATACATTATACGTAGTACTAGATACTAATGATAAAAATGCAGAACTACAACTTTATGAATGAAATAAGAAAGTTCTCTATGAGCAGGAAGATTACGTGCTACGAAACTAGGAGGTTGAAATGGCCCTTCAGGCAGGAAGATGACTACTATGTCCTTTTTCACAAGCATAGCTCTCTTTGTCATGAAGGATAGTGTAGTTTGAGCTGTGGATATCTCTAGAGTAGCAGAAAGAATCTTCATGATAATGGTATGCTTGCTGTGTACTCCCCAACCCACTGACAACCAAATTGCCCTTCACCAGCATGGATCCCTGCCCTTTCTGTAAATTCCTGAGAGAACTGATGGAAAATCTTGAACCAGAAGATTTGATACTCTTTTCATTGAATCCCAATGTTACATTTGCCAAAGAAGAATATGATTTATTTCCTTGATCTATTTCATCAGAATGCATATACACATAAAACTTCTTAGCAGATTCAAAGGACTGAATAGAAGAAGAAGACTTCTTGAAATAAACAGCGTCGTGGGAATTAATTGTCTGGTTTACAATCTGCATATTCCCTTTATTCCCCATTATCATAAAACTGCTATACTTGAAGTCTTGAACTGCTTTGGTATGAACCACTCCATGAGATGAATTCACCCATCCAGTCAACTGTATGGTCCGATTCGACTCTGTCAGAAAGGATCCATTTAAGCCAGTGAAATTTGACAACTGAGAGAAAGAAAGAGGGAAGCTTTTTTGTTCTATGAGCTTCCCTTCTGTTTTCTGACTATTGCCATCCAACCAAAGATGCAAGTTTGCATCAATATACCAAACATTAAGAGCATTTGTGACACTGAATGAGATCTTGTGACTCTTCCCATCTAATATCAGCCCTAAAATGGGAGTTATCTCGATGTCATATGAAGGAAGATCAAATGAACCAATTGCAGTAATGGGTCTCCATAAGAGAGGATTTACGCCTCCGGTATAAATCACAGTGAAGGGCCAAACTGCTCCTACTACTTCACCATCCAGACTGACAAGAACCTCTCTAAATGGTCCATTCCCAGATAAAGCATCACTAAGGTTATTTGCAGCTATGTAATCATTAGGAGGATTCCCATACCAAAACTCATCATTTTCATGAAATGACACATATACCTCTAATACAGCCCTATAAGTATTTTGAGGAATCTTGAACTGCTGTGAGGAGATGTCCGTAGAATTCTGGATCTCAAACCACAACCCATCATTCATGGGCAAGTTTCTTGAAACTGGAAGTATTAAATCAGCTATAGAACTGAAACCATTCGAAGCAATACCAGAATAATAACTAGACTTTTCTTCATATGGATAAAAATGAATCTTGATGCTCACATGATAAACGCCAGTATAAGTATCATCAACAACGTTGCCCATATAAACAGCGAGAATCTGATCACTACCCATCAGCAAAGGAGAATATCTGGTAATGTCCTTCTTGACTGTCCACACAATGCCCGTAGCTCTAGGCTCTGCGGTGCAGCTGCGGAGGATCTCAACCCCACCGAGCCAGACCCCAAAGATCCGGTCAAATTGCCTGCCTTTCGACCTGGCTTCCCATTCAAGAACGATTTTAGAGAAGTTCTGGGATGGGCAATTCAAAGGGGGTGTGTAGTTTGCAAGAACAGGCGGCTTCCCATAGGTATATGCGAAATCATGTTCGAGAAGTAGGTATGAGCAAGGCTTGGTATTCGGGACGTTTATGGGCTTAGTGACTTCGAAGTAGGTAGTCAGGGTGTCATTCAGTGAATTCTCTGGAATGAGCTGCGATCTGAATAGCCCGGCGGAGCTGTGGAGGCTTGCGGCGGAATACAGAGGTTGAAGGAGGAGGAAGAGAGCAGAGAAGAGGAGGGAGAAGAAAGTCATGATTGAAGGATGGAGTCAGAGTAGTGTCCTACTACAGTATTATGAAGTCGAGGTTGTTTACAAAACCGATGTACTCCACTCCGTCATAAAGGTCGAGGATATTTATTTTATATCAGGAGTGCAATACGTTGGGATCGTGTATTTGTGTTTGTTCTTTAAAGATGTTCATAGACTATATTTGATAGTCACAGTCAAAATACCGGATTCAAGTATCAAACAGAATTTAAATATAAAGAACACATGATATGTTGACGCAGTTCGGATAAATCCTACTCTGCGGGGTTTCAACAGGGAAAACCCGGTCCCAAGAATCCACTAGCTCAGAAAAGTTTGAATACACAGATGGTTGCAAAGCAAGGAACAAAAGTAACAGATCTAACACACTAGAATCAGCCAAATACGAGCAAACGAATAAAATAAGAAAAGGAACATAAGTAACCGGACGAAACTCCCAAAACCCAGGAGTTATCAGATTCTTGGTATCGAATCAACTGCACTGGATCTGCGCTTCACCACACGGTATAATCCTTGCCTTTCTCAGCTTATTCCGAAATCCAGTGTATCTCAGATCACGAAGAAGAAGAAGAAAACCAGAGGTTAACTCTTCGCAAGCTCTTTCTCTCTTATCGTTCTGTATTAGGGTTTGAATATGACGTAATAGATAGCTCCAGAAGAAGGAAGGAGACTATTTATAGGCGAGAGAAAGGGCTGGATCAAAGTAATAAGAACCGAACTCACCATGGTTAAAACAGGCCCAATCCAAAGAGGATAAAACTGAAACGGGCCAGATCTATTTAATGGTCCAATTGAATAAATCAATTAGAGTCCATTAAATATAATTACTTTCTAACCTTGCTTTACCTTCCTATCTAAGTATTAAAACATCAACATCAAGTATAACATAACTAGAATTAGGATTACAAATATAACAATTTGCCCTCCTAAGACTAATTCCAGTGCAGCACAGCTCATAAGAGCAGATATCATCATTGCTAGTGATCGGATTCATGAAACCAGATAACACCCTTTCATCATCAACCCAACCAAGTAACCTCAAGATCAAGGTACTTCAAAGATTTTGAAGAATTGCCTGCAAAACAAAAACTTAGCAGTAGGAACAATTTTAGTACCAAAATCAGCGGGGTTAACTTCTCCAGTAATCTTATCAATTTTAATATTACCTTTAGAAATCTCATCCCTAATGTAATGAAATCTGACATCTATGTGCTTAGTTTTTCATGATACATAGGGTCTTTGCACAAGTATATGGCACTTTGGCTATCAGAGAAGACACTAGGAACAACATTTGTCCCCAGAACTTCACCCACTATACCTTTTAACCATTTTGCCTCTTTGATAGCCTCAGTGGTTGCAATATACTCAGCCTCTGTAGTAGATAAAGCTACTACAGATTGCAGTTGAGATTTCCAATATATACAGTTACCAGCCCAAGTAAAGAACCAAGAAGTAATAGATTTTCTTGAATCTTTACATCCAGCATAATCAGAATCAACAAAACCTTTCAGATCACACAAATCAGAATTAGAGTATTTCAGACCAAGGTTCTTAGTACCAGACAAATATCTTAGAGTATATTTCATAACAGTCCAATGTTTGGTCCTAGGATCAGACATAAATCTGCTAAGTATGCTAACAGCCAAAGCAAGATCAGGCCTAGTACATAACATGGCATACATGAGAGAACCAGAAGCAACATCATAGGGGATCTTAGCCATTTTCTCAGATTCTTCTAAAGTCATAGGATAGGGATCTCTAGTGTCATGCCCCGGACCGCATTCGAGCCACGTAGACAACCGCCGTACAACCCGACAAGAACAACAACAGTTCATCCCTATTGAGTTGTACAAGGCGTCTGATTGATTCTATTGCCAAACCGAATAGTAAACACATACAATCAACATCAATATCATAATAAAACAAATACGGAAATAATAAAATGTTTGATACTTAGCCACACGTGGCAAACACGGGCACGCAGACCCCCAACTGTTTTAATGAAAATATTGTTCAAAAATCCATGAGCGGTTTATA